GAAACATTTAGTGCTGAGAGAAAAGGGTAGAAAAAAACTCATTTACCCAAATTGTGTTCACATCTTTCTAAAAAATATTAGCAATACTATCATGTATTCTAAAGAATAGATCTGCTTAGAAGCAAATTATCACCAAGATTTTCTACCTGTAATCTTGGACCTCATGTCAAATACTTAATTCAAAAAGTGTAGGGGGAGGGAAAGGATAGTAGGAGAAAAACAAAGGAGGGGGTAACAATGCTCAACAAAAAATGTACTCATTCCCTTACTCATCTAATAGTAACCCCTCTGGTACAGTATCTTTACAATAAAATAAAATTTAAAAAAGATACAAAAAAAGTGTAATGTTTGCCTAGTTAAAACCTAACTATCGGTTAATTATTTATTTTGGCTAGTTCAGGGCTAAATTTCATCTCATTTGCATCATCTGGTTGTGAAGCAATTCCAAACTGTGAAAGACAAAAACAATTTAGGAGAAAACGGCTACACTTCACCCCTAAACTATTGCTAATTTATCCTAGGCACTTGTTTGGCTATTTTTAGTAAACCACATGAGGTTGAGAAACAACTGCCGTAAGGATATTCAGAAACCACAGCCTATATGCTTAATATGACAGATGATGGAAAGGTTATGCATAAAAACCAATCCAAGCTGGGTTGGGGTACAAAGCTCACTGGTAGAATGCCTATTTAACACAGGCCAGGTTTTGAAAAAATAACTTTTATTAATGGAAAGACTAATAAACTACAGCTATACAGATATAACATAATTCACATACATTTATTTACTAGACAATGTAAGACTCTTCTCTGTTCAAGTCTTTAGTCATCTTCAGTCCAGGAGTTAAGGAAATAACTGGTTTGTTCCACCCTTTTCCTCCAACTAACAACTTATAACACAACAGTATTTTATCAAATATCCAGTATAGAAGTTCAATGTCTGTATCTTTTACAAGGACAAAAACTAATACTAACAGCTTTATCTCTAAATGTAGTAACTCATTGTGACCTAAACCTTGAGGGAGAAATCACTCCTTTAGTTCTAGGATGACTCTGTCTTAGAATAGAAAACAATAGCCCAGTACTATATAATAAAATTTGACATTCAACAGATAAAAATGGGGCATAAAAATGGGGCAAGCCGATTCAGCAAATCTTAAACTAGTGTACTTTGTCTTCTTTCCTTATTACATTTAAAGGCAGAGGATTGTGATCTCTAGAAAATAATGAACTAACATGCCAACCAAGCCACATTAATTGATATGAGTCATATATAACTTTCAGGTAAGAAATAATCTCTTTTGATATCCGGTATGAAGCAACCAACCTGAAAAGTACAGGTGTGTGCATGGCCAGTAGCCAAACCTACTTTAAACTTATTTCAAAATCATGCTGAAAGTTGAAAGCTGTAATTTCTTTATCAATCTAACTTGATCAAATACAATCAAATTCAATGAAAAGGTTTTTGAATTTCTATAACTATATTCCAAATCAATAATGACGATGTAATAATGGCAATAATTACCACTACAAACAAACTACACTTAAAGTATCTTTGAAAAGAAATAATTAGGGTTGGGTATATATGGCTCACATGGTAGAGTACTAAGTTAGTATGGCCGTGGATTCAATACACAGTGCCAGCAAAAAAACAAAATAACAACAACAACAAAAACCGAAGAGGTCATTAACTTATTTATAACAACAACAAAAACCAAAGGGGTCATCAACTTATTTATGCCACCTGTAAACGAAGCTGAAGGTAAAAGGGTTAACTTTGAGGCCCACATGGGTTACACAATGAGTTCAAGGGTAGGCTATAGCAAAACCCTCCCTCAAAAAAATAAACAGCTAGACTCCAGTGTCTCATGCCTGTAATCCTAACTGAGGAGGCTGAGAGCTAAGAATCACATTTCTAATTAAGTCTGTGAAGAAAAGTCTGGGAGACATTTTACCTCCAATTAACTAGCAAAAAGCCACAGGTAGATCTGTACTTCAAGTGGCAGACCAATAGGCTTGAGCAGAAAAAAGTCGAAGGATAGTAGTACCCAGACTGATTTCAAGCTCCAAAGTTGGCACACACAAAACAGTATTTCTAAAGAAAAGATTTTCCCCCTAAGAAGTTCATAAGGAATTATCAGCAAAATAATTCAGAACAAACTGCCTTATGAGATTTAGAAAGTGAAAAAAAAAATTTTAATTACAAAAAGTGAATTACAGTATGTTCAAGTGTCCCTAAACTCCCTCTGACTTATACAGGGTTACTTTTTAAGGTTGAGATGGGTACATCTATAAAATCTATGCCAATAAATGTTTTAAGATGACAATGAATTTAATGTACTGCTTGGAGAATTACTTAAAGGAAAACACTAGAATAAAGACACTCCTAATTACATGAACTCTTAATTCTTTTTTAACTCTTTTTTTCCTTTTCCTGGTAAATAAAAATTACATAAATTGAAAGTTAAATAAAATGAAAAACTAGAGTGAACCATGTTAAGCTTCTGTAGCAGATTTCCATTCAACATGCTATGCTAGGTATTTATCATTTATAAACTGGAGAAAATACTTTAGTATTTTTACTTTTTAAAAACTTAAGCATAATAATACATATGGAAACATCTTGTGCTGTTTATCCTAAAATTTATAAGAAGTTATAAAACTCAAATGTTCTTAGGCTAATTTCTTCTAAATTTAGTCTCTTTGGGGAAATAGATATGATTAAAATGTCAAGTGAAAGGCTAGTAGGCTGTTATAGAACACTTCTAAGATCAAGTGAAAAAGGTTCTTCTAGGTTCAACTCCTAAAACCACCCAAAAGGGTGGAAGCAATGGAAAACTACTTCAGAGGTAGACTTCTATGTTATCTATTAGGGGAACATAAAAATCATACAATTTGCCAAACAACCTAACAGTCTAGCTCCTGTGGCTGCATTTTTTTTTTTTAATTTTCTTGGGTCTGGTTGTGGGGCCTGAACTCTGGGTCTGGGCGCTGTCCCTTAGCTCTTCAGCTCAAGACTTGCGCTCTACTACTTGAGCCACAGTGCCACTTCTGGCTTTTTTTCTTTTTGCTTATGTGGTGCTGAGGAATCTAACCCAGGGCCTCATGCATGCAAGGCAAGCGCTCTACCACTGAGCCACCTTCCCAGCCCTGCATTTTAAATAAAAGCATTTAGAAGACTTTTTAAATGTTAGTGGGGGGAATAAACCCTCTGTTAGCAAGTTCAATAATTATAATTTTAGTGAACATTTTGTAGAGTTTTAGGCCACCTGGCAAAAGTTTATTTTTAAAAGTAATTTCTGCATAACCATTTTACTTCAGATCCAAGCTAAAATTTTCAAAGCACCACAGAATTTCCAATGCAACCACATAATTAAAACACTATATAGCAAGTTGGAAAAGGTTCCTTTGAATTTACCTACCTAGATCTGTCTATCTGAATTTACTGTAAATAACTTTTAAACAAAACAAATAATAATAAGGCCTACAGTAAGCTAAATGGCATTCACAAAAACAAACCCAAGGGAAAAGTCCAAGTACCTTCAATATTAGATTGGGATTTATTGTAAATTTTAGTTATAAATATAATAAACAAAAAGAACAAAGCTAACAGTACAAAAAATGAGGCTATCTAAAAGAATAAGAAAAAATTAACAGGAATATTAAAAGCACATGAAGACTTCAAATAAGAAAATAACATTTAGCCGGGCTCCAGTGGCTCTTGCCTATAATCCTAGCTACTAAGGAGACTGAGATCTGAAGATTACAGTTCAAAGCCAGCCCAGGCAGTAAAGTCCCTGACACTCTTATCTCCAATAAACCACCAGAAAACTGGAAGTGGAGCTGTGGCTTAAGTGGTAGAGCACTAGCCTTGAGCTGAAGAACTGAGGGACAGCGCCCAGGTCCAGAGTTCAGGCCCCACGACCAGACCAGACCAGACCAGAAAAGAAAAGAAACTGATATTTTACTTAATACTTTAAAATATTAACCCCAAAATTAAAACAAAAGTTTACTATTCATTTTCTTCTCTTACTACTTTGGTTGAATGGGGGACTGTACTGGGACTTAAATTCAGGGCCTTGAGCTCACACTGAAGGCACGGGATCTACCACTAGGGTCACACCTCCACTTCTGGTTTTTGCTGGCTAATTAGGTAAGAGTCTCCTGGATTTGTCTGTAAGGGCTAGATTTTTAGCCTACTTAGATCTCAATCTTATGATTATCTACTATGATAGGTGTTAGTCACTGTAGCACTGGCTTTCAAAGAGATTCTTCTGCTTCAGCTTCCAGAGTGCTTACAAACATGTATCACCACACCAAGTTAATTTACTACTTTTTCTGAGTTTCTTCATATAATTTAAATCTAATCATCTGATAATCTTATCCAATAATATTTTAGTCAATAAACTATTAAACTGGTGGCAATCTAGTGGAAATATTCCCTTAAAAAGAAATGAGGACTGTAAATAAAAGTTCATGGTAGAATGTCTGCCTAGCATGCTCAAGGCATGGGTTCACAGAATTGAAGATAAAAATAAATTATTACATTAAAATGATAGTTGTGTACATGTGAACATTAAATCTTATTATACTGAGCATATCTTTAAACTTTTAGAGTTGGAGCAAAAATAATTTATACTAGTACTTAACTAGCTATTTTCTAACATTTAGAATTTCATGGGTACTCTGTTTACTTCTATAATCCTAACTAAAGACAGAAATTCCTGGTTTACCATAGGATTTCAGTACATATTTCAAGAAATAAGAGAATCATTTATGTGTGATAAAAATTGGCTGGATTAAGCTGTGGATGTAGAGTGTGCTGGAACACCTGCCTAGCAAGCAGGAAGCCTTAGGAGTTCAAAACCCAATACCCACATACACATACATGCACACACATACAGCCCACACAAATGTACAGATTAATTTTCTGAACACCTGAAGGTGTTAGCTCAAACAGTGTCTTAATTAGCTTTTAAAAGTTATCCAAAATTTCTTACCTGGTAGGGCTGAAAGGCACTATCCTCAGTTAAAAAATCCAGTTGTTTATCTATAAGGAATTCTACTGCAGTGATTGATCTGGGTTTACTTTTCTCAACCAGTGGCTTGAAAGTCTGTCAAGAAAAGAAATTTTCGGGTGGTTATTTTCTAGAATGTGTTTCCTAAATGTGGTATGCAGGAGGTGTACATAAATACTATGCATTAGTGTCAACTACCACAAATATATAAAGCAATTTGTTTACCCATACAATGGGATATTTTGTATTAAAACAAAATGATAAACAGTGTGAGTGTGTGCGTGTATCCAATTAAGCCCCAGTTTTTTTTATTTTGGGGAAGAAAGCAAATGTTTATGTAAGTTTTTTGCTTAATATTCAAAAGAAGAAACAATTTCTGAAAATATGAGTATTTACTCATTTCATTTTAAACTATTGTCACTTCTAAAGAGTATGATTTCAATTTTAATCTCTTGCTAGATCATCCACATTAAGCCCAGTTTTAGTTCCACAGGAAGCATATGGTCTTTTAACTTCACCCCTACCCTTGCCCAAGCATGAATAAAAGTCAGTAAGAGTAGCATAGAAAAAAATAAGAAGAGATCACTAAGTACTATACCTAGCAGCAAAATATCTCTAAATCTCTAGTACTTAACAAGTATAAATCTAAGGTCATATATCTTAGGGTAGGTTCAAGAGTAAGAGGAGGTAGATGAAGGATAATAATACCAAGTAACTATTGTTTTAATGGCTATTACAACACACCATCTCTTAGTAGATGAAGCTTTAGTAAAAACTAATGAGCTTATATCCATGGGACTGTTGTAAAACTTGACAATAAAAACAATTTCATCATCTTATGAAAGAGTAGTTTTAATAGTCAAAAATTGAAAAACCAATATAACTTCTAAATTGCTTATATCACAGAAGAAATCTTCCTTACTAGAAGGCAATGTGGATGATCATTTAAAGCTTTTAATTAACATAGTCAATAAAAATTCCCAGAGGTTCCAAAGCCATTGTGTTTGCCTCTTCTCAAATTATGTCTCAAAGAAATATAACATCTTGTTAATCACAAGTAGTAAACATACTCTGGGGAAACTTCAAGGTCTCTTAGTTCAAAAATGGCTTAAAAGAAGTTAATTTCTGTAAATAAGTTGACTCACTACCATTCTGTAACTGCTCTGACTAGGTAAAAACACATGAGGGAAAAAAACACAAATATTTTAAACATGCCTTTGTCCTATACCATACATTGAATTTATAAATAACAACATCTCTTCTATTGTGGCAAATATTTTCACAGTGTGATATAAATCAGTGGTAAGAGTATTACTTAAAAGTAGTATGAACAAAGCTCTGGGTTCAATCCTGGCAAACTCTTACCCCCCCCCACAAAAAGAACCCCAAACAATAGCTCTTATACTATTTACTTATTTTCAGTATTTACAATCAGAAAATGTAAATATAATAACATTTTGTGTCCTAGGCTTACCCTTTAAGAGAAATATTTTATTTGGGTGAGAAATTACATCTTTAAAGTAGAAACTTACCACCTTAAGTATCTCCTTATTAAGCATCTCCTACTACAGCGTCATTCTAGTATTTCCTACTTGCTAGAAGTAGATTACTAAGTTATGATTTCATAAATTCTATTATTTCCCTTAAGTGACAAAGTTTAAAAAAAACAAGATTACTTATTTTTACTTAAAAATGTCTGCCATTATGGAATCTATTGACAAGAAATACGTAGGTTATCTGAAGAGAGATTAATTTAGTTCATCTTTACTATGAAAAATTGTTTCCATGTTTATACCTGTCAGTTTGAGTTTTTAGTAAACTAGAAAACAGCATCTTCTCATGAAGACTTCTAATATATGAACATTATCTAATGTTCTATTTCTTTTCAAACAGTATCATGTTAGGTCAACTAATAAAGGCTAACAGAAACGATCCACAAAAGGCATTATATAAATTGCTAAAGATACAAATCAACTTAGTAGGATTTGACATAGAAGTAAACCACACCAGTCTTATGTGTGTCTCTTTCTGAGGCAAACAAAACAGGTGTGATTCGTGTTTTGTATGGGATCTAATCTTTTTATAATATGGAAAACATGCTTCTCAATAATCTTTCTCAAGGTTTTAGTGGTAAACGCCAACTTAAAACAAAAATCTTAAATCTTAACTGTTATTAGGGAAAAAAGTTTAACTTCCAGGTTGAAATGAAAATTTCCCAAGTTTTAAGGTATAGTTAAAAGCCACTTAAAAACTTGATAACTGAAAATGTAAAAATATTGTTTACAGTAATTAAATTTGAGTAACATTAAGAACAATGATCTATTTCTGATATAAAATAGGGCAAAAACTATATTACATTTCTTAAATAGAAAAAGCCACAAATTGAAAACAATAAAATATATATTTAAATACTAGTAAGCGCCTATCAAATATCAATAAATACTTTCATAATGCTTGTTCAATAAATATTTTCATATATTAAGTGATCAACCATGAATGAGTGTGACTGATTCTACTTTATTAAAAAAATAAAGAGAAACACAAAAAGATAAGTAAAATACACCAATTTCTTTAAGTGGCAAATCAACAATGTATATTTTTTATGATGAATCTGAAGTTAATATTTCATGGCTGTAGATGCACTGGAATGTAAAGGAACTAGAACTCATGCATTACTAATTCAAGACGAAAGATATTCTGTGAGAAACTTCCACAGCCTAAGGGGAAGCAAAGAACTACCATCTAAAGAAAAGTCACTGTAGAATAAGGCCCTAATTACAAAAGACTTCAGTCTCTAAAAAAATCCATGAAAATAACTAACTTAAAATAGAGTATTTAGTTGAAACAAAATACTTTATCAGATTAAAGTTCTCTTAAGGTCATTTGTCAGTGTTAACAGTACTTTCAATTAGTCGAAAGCCAGAATAAATATAGTTGAAAGCCTATATTTCCAGTAGGGCCTACCACACTATAGAAGAATGCTTGGACCAACTGTATCCTGTTTGGGGCTCCATGCTGCACCACATTCCATTCACATGAGGAAGAGGCGAACAGATGAGCCCTCTCCGAAAAACATTTTTTAGATAAATCAGCTATGGCTTTCAAACACAACTCAGCTGCTCAAACAAACGATGTTAAGACTCACCATCTAACATTTAACAGCAAATTCATGGAGTTTATATCTGCTGTCTGAGTCTCTAACAATCTCTGGTTAACATTAACAATTCCTTTTCCAAGTTAAAAAAAAAAAACAGGCTCATTACCTACAAAAATATGGATAGAAATCTCAACAAAAGTTAAATTGTAAAGCTAAAGGCAATCTAGGCCCTATTTTATAAGTGGAGGTTTAGACAACCAACAACAACAACAAAAAAGACCGGAGCTACTTCAAAGAACAAAGTCCAGATTCCCACCCAAGTAGGTCTGCTGAAAAACATGATAGTTAGAAAACAAGTTGGGGGTTGGGAAGAGAATACACTACCAAAAAAAGGCCCTCAGAAAACAAGTATCCTTACTTCCCTTGAAATATTAATTTGAAATACTTCTGTTTTACTTTTTTAAACCCAGTTTTAAATTAATCTTTTTAGAGCTACTGCAGTTATAAACACAGTTAACCTCTTTCTAACCAGTTTTTAAGATCTTAAAACTAAAAACACTGAAGCCAGAACTAGAATATAAAAGGCAGTGACCTCAATTCCTAAGGCTGAGAACCAAAACCCAATGTAAATTAAGACAAAAGAAAAAGGAAGCAGAAAAATACAAACCGTACTTTGTTCTTGAGAATTTTCAAGTATCTTTAAATTTCTGAAATCCAAGCCAAGGCTTTAAAGGTCAGTAAGTATAGCTGACATTTCATTTTGCAGTTAAGTAGTATATATTTTTTAATCTATCGTGAATACTTCTTTAGTCTTCAAAAATCACAGGCAAATGGCTTTTAAACCAAGCACTTCAGAGCTCACTTGCAGCAGCGTCATTGTATAGGAAGAAAAGCCAAGACCACAAAACCAAGCAGGAGCTGTAACCTAACAAGTCTTCCGACCAGCAAATGACGATTTTCTGTCTGCTCCGGCTCAGCCCTGGCAGTGATGAGGATTACAACTCGCTCTTTGTCATCAGCACTGTGGTGTTAACGACTAAGAAATCCTGCAGCTGAAGCACTACCGCATACTCCGATCTAGGTCAGGATAATTTCTCCCGAGGTCGCTTACATAACCAGTAAGATACTCCAAATAAAGAGAACAGCCATCCATTAGCTAGAGAAAGCCTTTCCCACTGTACTCCGTCTGCGTGGAAACACACTGCAGTAGCTTCCAACAGAGCAGACACCCAAATGAGAACGAATACTTGGCTCAAGGCGCACAGAGAGAAGGGAAGAGGCGGTGCTCTGTAAACTGTAACTAATCCCCCGTCACAGGTGCTGATGGAGTCACTTCCAGCACGAGTCACATTACTGGTGATTACTCATTTGGCTGCAGCCATAGAGACTGGCTCATAATTTCAACAACAGACAAAGGCAGGCTAGTGGCTAGACTGAGAGCTCAAGTTTACTGTCTCCTTCATAAAGCAAATGCAAACACAAGTTTTTGCTCCCCAGATTTACCAAGGTGAGAAAGTGAAGAAAAAAAAAAAACCTAAGTATGTCCAGTTGGCAAAAATAAAGCACAGCTTTAAACCTTAAGAAATGCTTTCAGTGTGTTTTCAAGCAGAGTACTTTTTAGTTTGTTTTAAAAATATAAAAACACTCAGAAGAAAAATCACTTCTAAATTTTGGTGTTATCAGTTTAAGCAAAAAATCAAGTGAAAAACAGCCTTACCAGGCAACTTTATCCAAAAAGAGAAAAACCTGTAATATGTATTTAGGCATATTTTTTAAATATTTAAAAATATTTCTAAAATATCTGCGTTTTTTGTAAATAATTTTTACAGTTCACAGATAAAAATTTGTAACCTAAAAGCATAAAACATTTTTCTGATGTCTATTAAAGTGTATCTAGATTCTGGAATTGCACTGTTTGATATGGAAGTGACCGCTGAGCATTTGAAATGTAATCTAAAGTGAGATATTTGCTGTACATATAAAATACACACTAAAAAGACATCTCAAAATTCTATGATGATTACATCTTGAAACAATATTTGGACATACTGATTAAATAAAATCTTTGCTCTTTTAATGTAAATCCTGAAACTTTTTACTTACATGTGGCTCACTTTTTATTTCTACTGGACAGGGATACTCTAAAGGCATTTCCTCATGTTATAGTAGATATTCATATAATAGCACAAAGTTAATATTAGCTACTCAACAAAGACCAGAGATAAAAACTATTATTTGTGAGTGTATCCTAAACATCCAGTTGTATCTACTAATTTGTTGATATAACTGTTTTCTCTTTTTGGGGGGGTGGGGGAGATTAGCTGGTCCTGAAGCTTGATGGATCTTTACAACATTCAGTAACATATGTTAGTTAGCTACTAAGTAAACCATGCTTCAGTGTTAAGATTTAACTGAAATGTTTTTTTCTGTTTAAGGAATATGAAGAAAAGTATGTATGCAATAAAGCTTTGAAAATATACTTTCAAGTATAAAATAGTTCACCTACTTTTTTTTGGGGGGGGTTGGTTGTGGGGCTTGAACTCTGGGCTTGGGCACTGTCCCTCAGCTCTTCAGATCAAGACGAGTGCTCTACCACTTGAGCTACAGCACAACTTCTGGTTTTCTGGTGGTTTATTGGAGATATGAGTCTCACAGTCTTTCCTGCCCGGGGTGGCTTTGAACCGTGATCCTCAGATCTTAGCCTCTTGAGTAGTTAGGGTTACAGGCGTGAGCCACCAGGGCCCAGCTTAGTTCACCTACTTTAAATAGTATTATGTGAATAGAATTTCATTGTTAATTTGTCTTCATGTAGTTATATTTTAATTTACATAAATCTAAAATTTACTATTTATAAGAATATGGGCTTTCATTTCAATAATAATTAATAGCTGGTATCAGACCACCTATGAAAATAAGATGTTTCAATTTAGTATATGATAGCCTTAGACTTATAATGGCTTTTACTTATAAAAGTTTCCTAAGGATAAAAACAGATAGGCAATGATTAGTAAAATATATTAGTAAAATATATCTATATAATACATCATGGTTGGTGGTAAATACAACATTGTATTCTACATAAAAATACCTTTTTAGTTTAAACAAGTCTTTATTATATAGTATTTTTTGTTATATACTACTTTTATTTATTAACATGTATTAATTATGCAAAGCATTTCATTTAGGTATTTCCATACATGCATGTATTTTATTACTATTTATTTCTTTCCCATTTTGAAACAATTTTAATGAGTTTCATGATTCTGTTTTCTTTTTTTTCATTTAATTTTATTGTCAAGGTGATGTACAGGGGAGTTACAGTTACATACATAAGGTAGTGAGGTTAACTTAAGTATAAAGTATTTTACTAATACTCTGAAACCACACATACCCTAGTTATTCATTCAAAATTAATTACTTAAGAGAATAAGAACATATATGGAAATAAAAATATCTCACTATGTCATATAAATTACCAAAAAATCAGCAAGCCACAACAGCAATGGAAACAAAAACTAGATACTGCTTAATGTAAGAATCACATTTCAAGAACATTTTATACTACATTTCCATAATTTATTGTACATACTTACAAGAGTCACCTTATTATAGCATAAATTTGAGTTTTGATTTTACAGAGACAAACTTAAAATAGCTATCACTGCCTCTAAAGTACTATCAGTCCTCCAACCAAATCAAACTTCATAAAACAGCACTTAACAATCTAGATACCACAACTGTCATATATTATGACTGAGCTTGCTTCATTTGCTTGCTTGCTCCACTAATACTCTACCACTGGAACCATGCCTCTGCCCAACTTTTGGAGATGGAATATCTTAGATTTTTCTGCATAGGCTGGCTGTGAACCTTGATCCTACAGATCTCAGCAGTCTGAGTAGCTAGGATTATAGGCTTAAGCCACCCCAATGAGTAGCTTTTGACTATTTAAATTGGGTTTAACATTTTTGTAAATACATTAATTTGGAGGCTGAAATCATAGAAGGGCTCCAAGAGACTCTACCTCCAATTGATCATCACAAAAGTTAAACTGGAAGTTCAGCTCAAGTGGTAATGCCAGACCTGAAGAAAAAACTTAAGAGCAAAACCTTGAAGCTTTGAGATTAAGCCCAGGTACTAGTATTTAAGGGAAAAAAAAAAAAATATATATATATATATATATATAGTGAAGTAATGATATAGAAAGTTGAGCATTAAACATACATTTTTATGTTTTACACAAATTCTCTTTAATTCTCTCTTGGTCTCACAACTTATTAGTGCTGGAAGATCCAATGTTCAGACAGAGAAAATTACAATTAAATCCTTTCATTGTTCTTATGGCTTCTCTCTCTTACTGGAGAAAGAAAGGAAAACAAAATGTCACAGAACATTTCTTTTTATTTTTTTCTTGGGAGGTGAGGGGATACGGCCCTTTTCTGGCTTTTAAAACAGGCTAGAGGAAGAGGAAGTTACTCTAGTTACTGCCCAGAAATACTCATCTCGACTTCCTTCCTTTTTAGCTTGTTTCTAGGTTACAAGCTGAATAAATCAACAGAGGTGAGAAAGAACAGAGGCCAAAGGGAAGGCAGCTCTATCTGGGGTTTGGGAAAGAAAATCTGTTTTTCCAATAATGTGAGAACTGTATATGTACAATTGAGAGTTAAAAGGGCATTTTGGATACATTTATCTTGGGATATAAATCTCTCACCTTAATATATGGAAACCTGAACAAAGGATTCTTACAAGTATAAAGACTTAAACCTCATTTCATTTTTTGTGGTGCTAGGAAGCAAACATAAGACCTCATGAAAAAGCTTATTCTATGACCTGATATTAATTATACTTTGCAATGATGTTATTTTAAATATATATCAATGGTTAAGAAAAGATGAACAATAATAGTGACAGTATCAAAGTTTGATATGCCCTTACATGTAGGCTAACTATATTCTGAAAAAAATACACTATATTTTCCTTATAAAAGCTTTAAAATGCATAATTGAACATAAAATTCCTGTATCATGGTAGCATCCAAAGGATTAGCTTTTCACATTAATAAAATTACAAATCTTGAGATCTTCCATCTATTGTAAAAGCTGTGTAGCACTTAAGTTCTACAAATATTTTTAGACCTTCACTTTAATCACTTTTAAGAAACTACTCCATCATGTAGCATAATCATTCAACCAGTATATATAGAATGTTTTGCTATGTGTTTGGCTCTGAGTAATTAGGATAATTATTATAATATTGAAGAAAAACAAATTCCTAGACTAGCACAGCTTTCCTTAAGAAGGAAACATACATTAACAGAATCATACAAATACACAGAAAATTACAAACTTGTTGGAAATTAGATAATGGAGAATCATTTAATAATCCTTTTTTAGTGCTGGTCCTGGGGCTTGAACTCAGGACCTGGGTGCTGTCCCTGAGCTTTTTTGCTCAAGGCTAAGGCTCTATCACTTGAGCCACAGCTCTAGTTCTGCTTTTTTGGCAGTTAACTGATGAGTCTCATAGATGTTCCTGCATGGGCTGGCTCTGAACCATGATCCTCAGATCTCAGTCTCCTGAGTAGCTAAGATGACAGGTGTAAGCCACTGGCACCCAACTCCTTTAAAAAAAAAAAAAAATATATATATATATACATATATATATATAATTCTTTACAATTACTTAGTCACCAGAAAAATGCCAATATAAATGTCCACTCTGTAATTCTGCCAAGATTTTAATGACTTATACTTAAGAAAAAGAACTTCTGAGGATTCTAAAATCATGGTTAAAAACTTCAGTAACCGCTGGGCGCCTGTGACTCACACCTGTAATCCTAGCTACTAGGAGGCTGAGATCTGAGTCTTGTGGCTCAAAGCCAGCCCAGGAAGGAAAGTCCATGAGACTCTTATTTCCAATAAACAACCAGAAAACCAGAAGTGGCTCAAGTGATAGAGTGCTCACCTTGAGCTGAAGTGCTCTGGGAAAGCATCCAGACCCAGAGTTCAAGCCCCATGACCATCAAAAACAAAACTTCAGAGACCATTCTCTACACTTTCAGTAACACAATGGCAGAATTCTATGTCTTTTCTTTCATTGTTTTTTTGTCTATGAGTTTGTTATATCCATGACTTGAGGTTCAGAATTACCTTGATCAGTCCTCCTTTCTTCTAATATTGAGAGTTTACCTGCTTTTCTTTTTTCATAACTTTGCAGGTT